AGAGAGAGAGAGAGAGAGAGAGAGAGAGAGAGAGAGAGAGAGAGAGAGGCTGAATGGCAAAATTGAAATGTGGGTCAAATTGCAGCCGCGATCTATTTCGCAGTTGGAAGGATTTTTAAAATTTTATTTAGCATTTTTCCTGGAAAGATCACAACAAAATCTACGAGTACTCCAATTTTCAGGGTTTTTCAAGCATTCTTCTTAGAGTGAAAACTCACTGAATTTGGAGTACTTTTTAAATTGGCCCACACATGGCTGAGTGGCAAAAATGGAAAATGTGCCCAATCGGCGCAACGATTATTTCTCAGTCTAAATGATTTTTTAAAAATGTTCTAATATTTTTCCTAGAAAGAACACGACCTCATATATGGATTCTCAAAATTTCAGATTTTTCTGCAGGTTCCTCCAAGCACAGAAAATCGCCAAACGTGCCTCTTGCAAAACGCCTGTTTCGTTGCGCCTGACCTCCCCGTTTTGAGAAGACGGACCTCAACGCCTGGGCCTGAGGGCCCTTACCCCACCCCCACTTCTTTTTGGGGTCCACTTCCACCCGAGGACCGGTCCTTGCTTTTACCAAAAGTCCCGATCATTCCAGAGCTGCCTGTAGGTAGTCCCCATTTTTGCCAAGGACCGGTCCCCGCCAAACTTTTGCCCCCTAAAAACCCACTCTGCATCCTGGTCACCCGCCGCTGAAAATGCGACACCTTGACGCAGACGCCGAAGCCCACTATACCGCAGCCTTAGGGCTGCGAACATGGGATGCGATGCCGGTTCGCTTGCTGCTGCATATTGACCTGAGCCTTTCGCATGTTCGCGCGGGCTTTGGCCAGCAGTTCCCTGTACTTCCGTGTAGAAGCGGGGGAGCAACCGACGTCAATATCGGCACCCCGTGGAAGCAAAATGTTTGCGAAGATACGTCCTTTCCGTCCACCGTCATGCAACTCGAATGGAGTCACGCCAATCGCCGGGTGCACCGAAGTGTAGTAGGCGAACTCAATGTCGAGAAGGTGGTCAACCCAGTCCTTCTGATGCGGGCGGATGAGTGTGCGGAGCATCATCTGCGCAGTCTGGTGCGCACGTTCCGTTTGCCCATCCATTTGAGGATGTCGTGCGAAACTCGGTTTCGTGTTGGTGTCGGATTCCACCATGAGTGCCGTCCAAAAGGCTGACATGAAACGAGTGTCGCGATCGCTGACGATGTCTTCCGAAACGCCATGGCTGCAAAACCAGCCGGTATGCAAAAGTTGTGTGAGCTCGGGAGCTGTTGCATGATAAAGCATACTTGCTCAAACGATCAACGAGTGTGAGAATACCGTCATGGCCAAGGCGATCGCGAGGGAAAGGGCCGGTCACATCCATAGCAATGGAGACACCAGGTTCCCGAGGAATCCGCAATGGTTCTAGTTCGCCATACGAGAGTTGATGGCGCCCTTTGTTCCGGTGGCAAACTGCACATAACTGAGTGTACCGGTTGACGTCGTTGATGATGTCCGGCCAGTGAAATTGCTGGCAGAGTCGTGCAAGTGTGTGCGCGATGCCAAGGTGTCCCGCCAGCCGCAAATCGTGGTATTCGCCAAGGAGGCGAGTGCGCAAGATGCGGTCTTGGGGAACACACAACAAGTCCTTGCCTCGTGTACGGAGGAGCAATGCGATAATTGCTTGTCGGCGGGTGATCCGATGATAAGTCCACATAGAGTGTGAAGAATCCCGGATCCGACTTGTAGCCGTTTACGAAATGTCGTTGCAGGTCCTCGTCGAGGCCGAATGTGGAGTGCACCAAGGCGCAAAGATCTGGTCTTCGCGAGAGAGCATCCGCTGCCTTGTTCGAGGAGCCCGAAATGTGCTTGGAGGTGAAGTCGAACTGGTCAATGAACTACATCCACCGACCGATCATGCTTCTCACCGTGTCTTGCGTCTTGTAATAAGTCAACGGATTGTTGTCCGTTGCCCACGTGAATCGCCGACGCCCGAGGAGGAAATGACGCCAACGCTTACATCATCAAGAGTGTTGATGGGCGGCACCTTTTGGCTGAAGTACTCAACCGGATGCCAATATGTGCCGTCATGCTGTTCCAAGACCGTGCCAATGCCGTAGCCGGAAGCGTTCGTAGTCACTTTGGTAGGCAAGGTCAGGTCATAGATGCTTAAGACGGGAGCTTGAAGCAAAGCCGTCTTCAGCGTGTGGAATGCATGTCGGGCTTCGTCGTTGAACTCGAAGGGCACCAAGGGGGGCTGAAGTCGCGACAATGGTGCAGCGATTCGTCGAAACCCTTGACGAAGCGCATGTAGTAAGATGCTAAGCCAAGAAAGGAGCGGATGTCGGTAGTACACTTGAGGTCCGACCAATCTTGAATGGCTTGTACTTTGTCCGCGAGCGGACGAATGCCTTGCGGCGTAACGTAATGGCCTAAGTACTCACTCTTGCTGGGCAAACTTGCACTTGTACTTGGCGATACGAAGCCGCTCCAACACGGCCTGAAGGTGCTCGAGGTGCTCGTCCAGCGTCCAGCTATAAACCAAGATATCATCAAGGTAAATAAGTCCGGTGCAGTCGAGCAAGTCACAAAATTTCGTCATCATAGCCGCTTGGAAAGTAGTCGGGGCATTGGTGAGACCGAAAGGCATGACGATCCACTCAAAGTGCCCATATCATGTCTTGAACGCGGTCTTGTACCTATCTCTTGGCTGGATCTCGATCTGGTGGCAGCCGGATTTGAGGTCAAGCTTCGAGAAGTACTTGGCGCCGCCTAGTCGCTCGAGAAGATCCTCGATCCGAAGGAGAGGGCTGGCGTTCTTCATCATTTGCGCGTTAAGTTTCCGATAGTCGATGCACAAACGAAGGTCCTTGTTCTTCTTCCGAACGAAGAGAACGGGAGTACCGTATGGCGAACAGCTAGGGCGAATCCAGCTCTTGGCCAAGAGGTCGTTTAGTTGTGCCCGAAGCACTTGAAGCTCCTCTTCGCTCATGCAGTAGATACATTCGCGCGGAGGTACGCCGCCGTCCTCGAGAGTGATCCCGTGGCGTATGGGCCAATCCGGTACTACTCCGGCGGGAGCTTCGAAGACATCCTTATAGCTGTCCAACAGCTCAATGATGCGTGGGTCCGACATATCCGTCTTGGGCTGATCACGGGGTGGGAGGGCGTGAAGAAAACATATGCCCATCTCCTCGATGTCGTTCCGCCAGATGGATTGGCGAATGCTCGCCGCGGAGACCACGTGACAACCAATCGAAGGATGAGGAAGCGGCACCGTACACGGGACTAATTCGCCACGCCGGTCACGAACGTGAACGATGCGTCGATAGACGTTCACTGGATGGTCTTCGCTTTGTAGCCACGACATGCCTAAGATCATATCAAACTTGGTGTCCAATATGTCGAATGACACGACCTCGCATGCTAGCGGGGCGAAGTACACGGGCGCCGAGTCAACACATCGGTCGATTGACTTTTGCGTGTGACCATCGGCCAACGTGACGTGCGTAGGCTGACTTTTCCTTCGAACGCGCGGGCCAAGCCCGGCACGTGCCATGAAGTCTTGGCTGATGTAGTTGCGAGACGGCTCCACAATCGATCAAGGCACTGCATGTCGCCTTTCTCATTTGAATGCGGATGTAGAGGAGCGGCGCGTCGATGTCGACGTACCATTGCGTTGCGTGCTCGCGGTCGATCTTCGCAAGATAGTTACGAAGGTCAACAACCACTACTCCGCCGTCCGTCGACGGAGGTGGTACTGCAGCGTGCAAGTATTCGCGCAAATGTGCCATTAAGGCGTTGCAATGCGGCGTTGGCAAAGAACCGGTGGAGGGAAGAGGCAACCATTGAAAGTCCTCAACCGTCAACGGGTCGAGTTCCTCAAGACTTGCCCAAAGTGACAGATCCTCCGATAGAAGGGCTAGCGAAGCAACCGGTTCGCTGTCCGACGGCGGAACTACCGCGCATGCGCTTGAATCTTGCACGTGAAGAGGCTGGTTCAATGGTGGGACCAGCTCAACAACATAGTTCTCAAAATCGATACAAGAACTTGCGACTACCGCGTCATCCCCGGATGTGAGAGAGACCGCTAGCAACGCAGCCGACTTCGGCGGATTGGGAAGTGATGTCGCTGCACTTCCCGCGGTGCTCAGTTTCCCGAGCTTGGACGTTTGACATTCTCCTTGTGCTTGTCGAGGCATGCGCTAGTCATGTGTTTGGTGTTGTTGCACCAAAAACAGCATCCCCATTTTTGTCACAACTTTAACATGTCTTCGGTAATGCTGAACTTTGTCCATGGGGCCTGTCGTGCTCCATCCGCCGACGCTGGTTTCGCCTTTCGTTTTCCCCCTTGGGGTCTTGAGCGTTGCAGTGGTATCACTGCCGCCACATCTCCGTTACTTGATGTAGACGCGGCTGCGTGGCCCTCAATAGGTCCTTGTTGGACTGCTGCTACTTGCGGCGTCTGTTGACCTTCGCCTTTCTCCACATAACCGGGCTGTTGGCGGGCCTCGTTGGCCGCGCCGGTTACCTTGGATTAGTTCTCTTGCCTTTGAGATCATGTCATCGAAGGTCTCATACTGGAATTCGCTACCGAGAGCAATTGTCAAGCCGTCGCATGACCGAGCGAAGAATTCGGCCCGGATTGTGTCGAACGGTAAGTTCAACTCCGGGGTGGCGACGAGTCTTCGCCACTCCGTCAGCCACTCCCGTGAAGGTTGTTGGCCTTGAAACATGCGAAAGATCTTGTTCAAGGCGTGATGCTTGTCGTTGTTGACCATGAACCGGGTCTTCCATTTCTTCTCGAATTCCTCCCACGTGATCTTGGTGTGGAGGGTGGCGATGGTACATTCCAATGTGACCGCCATGTGCGTCATGAAGGCCTGCGCCCTCCAATGACTTGGAGGTAGAGTGCATCAAGCCACCGAAGTGCTAGAGTGTGATGCACGTCCGCCTCTGCGTTGAATGCCATCCACCATTGCAGCGGATCAGTCTTGTGATAGTCATCGAACTTCTCGATCTTAAAGTTCGGCATCTTCCATTCCTTGGCGACAACGGGCGGTCGTTGCTGAACGTGGTCGCTGTGCGTCTTGTTGACCATGAACTGGGTCTTCCATTTCTTCTCGAATTCCTCCCACGTGAACTTGGTGTGGAGGGTGGCGATGGTACATTCCAATGTGACCGCCATGTGCGTCATGAAGGCCTGCACCCCTTCAATGAGTTGGAGGTAGAGTGCGTCAAGCTGTGATGCACGTCTGCCTCTGTGTTGAATGCCATCCACCATTGCAGCGGATCAGTCTTGTGATAGTCATCGAACTTCTCGATCTTGAAGTTTGGCATCTTCCATTCCTTGGCAACAGCGGCCGGTCGTTGCTTAACGCGGTCGCTGTGCGTCTGCAGTTGATTGCTGACTGTCAACGCTCCAGCAAACTTGCAGATGTCGCCGAGGGACGCGACCACGTGGTTGATTCGCTCCTCGAGTTGCTTGGCCTGCGCGGCCAAGGCTGGGCTGCAGTCTGCCACTGCGCTGCCCGTCTACGCAGCTGCCGATGGTTGTGCCAACCCTTTGCTGACATCGTTCTGCAGCTGGTCGTTGATTGTCTGCTGCTGGCTGTTGGCGGCGTGTAGTGCTTTGAGTTCGGCCTGCATAGTAGCGATCTTCTTGTCCAATGCTTTAAACGTCGTTTCGTGGCGGATGAAGACCTGCCGCATGGCCAACAGTTCACGTTGCTGCCAATTGCACGTGTACAGCAAGTTCTCCATCAAAACTGTTCTGGCCTCCTTGTTTCTTTCGTCCTCGGTTAGCTCCTCTTGTACCTCGTTTGCTTGAAAATGCTGCCGTCATAATAACCTCCGGTACGTGGCTTTTTCGTTGGCGAGCTCTTTTGTAGCTTGGTAACGAACTTGGTTTTGACTTGCCTCGACCTGCTGCTGTTGCAACCGTGTGGCTGCAGCAGCTTCTGCTGCGGCCTGCTGACATGCTGCCTCTGCCCCTGCCAGCTGGCGTTGAATTTCCTGCTGACGGGCGGCTTCCTCCTCGTCCCACTTGCTCAATTCAGTTGTTGTGGTCTCCGAGTAGGATTGGAGACGTTTGAGGAACGCTCGAAGCGGTTCATCCGCCTGCTGAACTGGGATAGGAGAGGTAACCGGCCTCTTGGGGCTGGCTTGTGCATTGACGTCGGCGGTAGCAGCCATGGTCGTGCGTCGCCTTCGCGGGATCCGAGGTGTCTTAGGTCCCTGTTGGGGCTTGGTTCCTGCGGATCCGCGCTTCGCAAGTCGTTGACTGCGGCGCATCAAGTACTCTAGTCCTCGTCTGCTGCTGACGTGTCACCGCTGAGGTGGCACCTGCTGATGTGGCACTGTTGAGGTGGCCGCTGCTGACTAGGCACTTGACTGTCGTGGCACGCTGAGGTGGCACGCAGCTGAGGTGGCAATCTGCGTTCGTGGCCTGCTGCTAATGTGGCAAAATGGTGACGTGGCCGGAGACTGACATCCTTAGTACCGAGAGGAGGAGAGAGAGAAGGTTGGGGTGGAGGAAGGGCAGAGAGGCAAACAATGCACAGACAATGCACAGACAGTTCCTTTCTCCCCTGACCTCGACATTTGTCACTAATCAAAAAGAAAAGAAAAAAATTCACCCCCCCCCTCAAAAATTTCAAATTTTGAGAAATTAAATAAATTTTAATTGGAAAAATATAAATTAATTAAACTTTAATTTTGGCAAAGATTAAATATTTATTTAAGGATATTGCGAGGCCACTGCCTCTATGAGCCCCATTCGGCCCATTTTTGGGAGCTTGTCGGCCGCCCTAAGTGAAGGCAGGCTCGACGAGGCCCCTCAGGGCCTTATTTCGGCCTCTGCGCAACTAAGGAAATTCAGGCAGTTGCGCAGCGCCAGCTGGTTGAAGAGAACCCACGCCCTGGGCCGCTTGTGTGAATGTATAGAAAGCAGGCCCAGGGCTGGATACGGGTACTGGGCCAGACACATGCCAAAGGCAGTTGGGTGCATGCAACCACCTCAGGCCCCACGCCTGTTCTCGATCGTGCTGGGCCTCAAGCTACCGGGGCCTTCTGGAAGCTCCCTGGGACTGGACGCAGGCAGGCCACTTTGATATAGCAAAGGGCCTGCCTCCTCATTCGGCATTCGGGTGCTGGCTGCATGCTGCGCAAGCGCTGCTGCGCTATTTGCTGGTTGGCGCCGACGCGCTCACGGGCGAGCGACAAAGCAGCAAGCAGCCATAGCCGAGCTGCGCTGCTGTGAACTGGGTGAGGCGCACGGTGGTCCTCGGGTGCAAGTGGCATCTTTGTGCTGGGGAACAAGGTTGTGAGTGAGGCGAGAGACATACCTGGTGCTGGAAGCGTGCGACATTGGTCGCTGTATGCTTGTACTTCGGGAGAGCTGTTGTTGTCAACTTCGGCATTGTAGCATAGGCTAGATAGGATCTGCCACATGTAGTCTAGGCGCCGAGCGCCAGATAAAATATCAACTCTGGTTCTTCGTTGATGATGATGATGGGACTATTTCAGCATTGTCAATTATGAACTCTTGGTGTGTTCTTATTTGGTGAATCTCGTGATGCAATTTTGCTGTTTGTTCGAGGTCACGACTATCTGGACTCATATGTATGATGCTGTTTGATTGCTGAAGTTCGCTATTGCTCATCTTCCTTGCAATTTGGTATCGGAGTTGTGGTACGATTGCGCTCATCTGGCGCTTGTCTTCTGCCTGGTACGGTACATACATGCGGTCTGCTTGCCGACTTTGCCCGTAAGTGGTGTGTAGCGAGGAGGGTGGAAACGAGTGATTGGCGACCCAAGAGGTGAGGGGATCGCCAGGAAGGCTATTTGGTGTAATGTGGGTGTTGGACAGTATGATGAGAACTATCTAATGTGCGATTGATGCTGAGGTGGAACGGCGTGCAATGCTGGTTGTGCCGATGCAGCGACTGGTCATCGCAATCGCCATCAGGTCATCTGGTTAGATTATCTCTGTGGTTGGCGGCAACTATTTCAGGTACATTGCTCTGAACCTTATCTACCCTCTTCGACACTTCTTACCGTGAGGTTGTGTATTCCTTCTTGAGAGTCCTCTCATTGTGAGGTGTCGAGTGCGCTCAACCTTGAGAGTCAGCAATGTTCACGTGGAGCATTTGGGAGAAGATGGGCGGAGCTTTCTGAATGGCCCTGGACGAAGCACTGGGTCACGGTCACCATGCCAACCCACCGGGAGTAGAGCACGCATGCTTTGCTGCTTGTCCTTTGTTTGGCTTGCTGCGCTGTTAGATGGGTACTTAAGGGCAGGCCAGCCCTACGAGGGAGACGAGACCGGGCGTCTTTAAATAAGCATCGGAAGGGGAACCATTGGCTGTGATCGTCGTCCGGCTGCGACGTAAAATAACTCCTGGAGTCACTTGGGGGCGGACGTTAAATTGCCTCTGGATCAGCCAATGGTTGTAAGGCACACGAGGATAATCCAATGCAGGACTGGCCAGCTCAACACTCGGGGCACAGGGGTGGGCCGAACTTACACCTTTTAGACAGGCGACGCTCTCTAGATTGCTCAGGGACGCTGACGTCAAGTGATACTCAGGGGAGCTAAGGGAGGGGTAGATTTCGGGTGACAAGTTCGAGAAAAATTCCATGTTGTCCTATCCACACAAATGATTTTATTTTTACGTTTTGATTAGTTAGGTGTACAGCCATTGACATGTGACAGACAACATTAGTTAGAACTGTTTCTTGTTCATGGTGCTTCTGTTTGCGGACTAGTCAAACTAAAAATAGTTTTATTTGTAGGAATCTGACTTAAATAGTTTTATTTGTAGGAATCTGACTTACCTGTTGGGCCCGAATGTAAAGACTCTGAAATAGCCACCAATTAATTAGGTTGTCTGTGCACTACGCTGCGGTAAGCACTTAGTGTGTATTAGTGCAGATTGTGTACAGTGTTGTAGCTTATGAGCGACGAGAAGGACACTGGAGAGGACGACCGGAGGATCTTGCGATCGGCTAGACGCCCAATTGCCCACTTGGCATTAGGACCAGAGGGCGACAAATATATGTTCCGCCGGCTTAGGGAGAGGCAGCAGCAGCAGAGGAGGGCTAGAGCAACATAAGCTAGCAGGGCACTTGTGAGTGAAGCCGCAGCTTTGGAAGCCATGGCCACTTCTGCGCAGCAAACTACTAAGGCCGGTAGTTCAGGATCTGTAGGGTCAACGGTCGCACAGACCCAAAGTCAGTCCACTGGCATCATGACAAGCCAGCCACTAGAGTTGACGTCCAATGAGATCGCCATACAACAAGCAGCATTGCAGGAGAAACAACTACAGAAGGCGTTAGGAGATATAAAAGCGGAGAAGGAAGGGATGATTAGAAGAAGAGCCAAGATGCAGCGGAGACAAGCGGACGCTAGTGAGTTAGAGGAGATGGACTTGACGAAGTGACTGATGACGTGAGGATCGTACGGTCCGTCCTGCTGAGCGTAGTTGAGATGCAGGACCATCAGACAACCATCCTTCAGAATATTCAACAAAGTCTGGCCCTGTTGGTTGGGCAAGCGCAGGCAACATCGCCAATGTCCGGGCCTGGTGCCTGGCCCGTTGTACAACCTCCTTTTGTCCCACCGGTGACTGGGTTATCCCCATATGTAGCCCCATCATAAGTTGCGATCATTTCCCTGGGCATGCCACTATCAGGAGGGATCACAACAGGATCTAGTTTGCAGGTTCCGGTACAGACAGTGTTCACCCAATCTCCGTTGCAGATTGCGGTTACCACGCAGCCTGCTGTCTCGCAGTCTGTACAACAAGTCGTAGGGTACACAGCCCCAACAGCTAGCACAGCAACCTGTGTCATAGGGTCCACAGCCCAAGGTGATGCAGGGACCGGGACAAACTTATTGGGTTCCAAAGACAACCATTGCCGCTCCCAAATCTTTTACAGGGGATAAGAGGGGTGAAGACCTCGACACGTGGTTGAGGGCAGTGTCGGTCTATGTCAAGTGTAAGCTTACCTTGCAACACGAGGAAGTGTTAGTGGTTGCATCCTATCTAGAGGGCAGTGCAGCACGATGGTTGAGCGGTTTGGTGCAACTTCAGGGATATGGTCATGACTTCCGCTCTTGGGCAGAAACTGAAGGACTTTCTCAAGATGGTGGAGGAAAGGTGGCATGATCCTCAGGAGGCTCAAAGGCCACTGGCGCGATCTTGACACTGCACACGCAGCAGTTTAAGTCAACCAGGGAGGCCACCGACGCTGTAGAGCGTCTGATCTGTGTCCCTGGGGTGCGCTACGACCCCCAGGTTTTACTCACCTCGTACCTGAGATGCTTTCCAATGCCTCTCAGGAATCAGTTGGCAGGCGAGGCCAACATCAATGTTCACAACTTCCCCTCGTTCAGCAAGAAGGCCCTAGACCTTGAGGCAAAAGTAGGCCATGGGCAGGCACCCACTATGGATGGTAGGAAGAAAACACTGCCTCCCAACTGGAAGGCGAAGGGACGCATTATGTTTGTCGATAACAATGGTTCAACCATCGAATTAGACGAAAACTTCCAAGAGGGAGTAGGTGCAGAGGCGGGCAGCATTGAAGCTTCAGGGGGTGGAGTTGTCGCTGCCGTAGCTCAAAAAGGTAAGGCGACCGGTAGACGTCGCGGAGGCTCTCGGTCAAGGAGTCAAGTTGACCCCAATGCTCCCGCATGGGAGAAGGCGGGTCTTACAGAGGACGTGTGGAGAGACCGGTACACCCGACAAGCTTGTATTCATTGTGGCCAATATGGCCATAACCAATTCAAGTGTCGAAACAAGAAGGTGACCAACAAGATCCCGCCTACGATGGGGCGGGCGATAGGATCCTCCCATCCCGTTGGTAGCAATGTGGCCAGCACTTCAGGCACTGCTTCGGGAAACACGTCGGGCCAGTAGGAATAGTAGCTGTTCCTACTAGGGTCGAGGTGGTGGAGACACCCTCACCATCTGGAGAGATGGCCCAAGCTACTGACTCCAGCGTCGTCTCGCAAACACGTTCAAACACATTGAGCCTCTGTTCGATTAATGTGTTTGAGTCCTTAGAGGAGCTAGAGGAGGAGTGGTCTAGATCATACCCGCTAGCTTCTTGGACGGCCCTAGTCAAAGCCACGAAGGGTGAGATTTTCGTCAGCAAGGTGGTCATTGGCGGCCRCAAGGCCGGGGCCTATTATGACACTTGCTCAACAAGGAACTTTATCAGTCTTGCGTGCGTTGAGAAGTTGCGCTTACAGGGGCAAGTGCAGTGCCTGAGTCGACCTGTGGAGTCGACCTGTGCCAACGAACAACGCGTGGTAGTCAATGACTACCTCCAAGATGTTGAGTGTTGGTTCCCGTACGCGGGAGGGGAATTGAGACATCGCGTCTCGTTCCTAGTGAGTGACGAACTCCCCATGGACATGTTGTTAGGTATGTACTACCTCTTTGTGGCACATAGCCCCAGTTTGACTGGGACCGAAAAGTGGTCAAACACACTTTGCCAGGTGGAGGGACCGCCAGATTGCGTAAGTTCAAAGCTAGAAGTCTGATTGAGTCCCACGGGTGCATGTGTGCGGCCGCGTTCTACAACTATTATAAGCAAAATCAGGAGGAGGGTATGTATCTAGTTTATGTCTCTGCTGCAGACAAGCCGATGAAAATGCCGCCCGAGATAGAGGGAATAGTTGCCAAGTACCCTAATCTATTTAAAGAGCCGACAAGGGTTGTAGAGAGGAAGGTCGTCCACGCGATAAAGATTATCCCAAGGTCTAGCATCCCGAAGGGTAGGATCTATCGGATGTCTCCAGGCCAGCTCGATGAGCTTCGCCGACAACTCAAGGAACTCGTAGAGAAGGGTTGGATCTGGCCGAGTATCTCTCCTTATGGGTGTCCAATATTATTTGTACCTAAGAAGAAGGAGGGAACTCTGAGGATGTGTCGGGCCTCAATGCCATCACTGTTAAGAATAGAGTTCCCCTACCGCGCATCAACGATTTGCTTGATAGAGTGCAAGAGTGTCGGTACTTCAGTAAGATAAATCTGAAGTCCGGGTACCATCAGAACGCAATCCGGCCTGAGGATCAACACAAAACCGCATTTCAGACCAGGTACGGTCTGTACGAGTTTGTGGTGATGCCTTTCGGCCTTTGCAATGCTCCTGGCACCTTTCAGCATGCTATGAATCAGATATTCCATGACTACTTGGATGAGTTGGTCATCGTGTACCTCGATGGCATACTTTCTTTTAGTAAGACTGTCGAAGAGCACGTTGCACACTTGGACAAAGTCCTTAGTCTCCTGCGACAGCACAAGTTCAAGATCAACGGTGAGAAGTGCGAGTTTGGCCGCACCCGTGTCTTGTACTTGGGTCATGAGATTTCCACGGAAGGGTTGAAGCCCGATGACGCGAAGGTGGCCAGCATTCGTGACTGACCGCGTCCTCAGTATGTGACTGAGATGAGATCTTTCTCAGGGATGACCGGCTACTGTCGCAACTTCGTGGAGAACCCCTTTGATTGATCTGACCCGCCTTGACACCCCATGGTAGTGGACTGAGAGATGCGAGGCTGCTTTCAGACATTTGAAGCATGCATTGACGCATTACGAAGTCTTGAAACTTCCTCATCCTCATAAGCCATTTATAGTAACTACGGATGCTAGCCAATATGACATCGGAGTTGTACTTGCACAACAGGAGGGGAAAAAGTTGCGGCCAGTAGAGTACATGTCCAAAAAGATGCCCTCTCAGAACTTGGCTAAGTCCACCTACGAGAAGGAACTCTATGAGGTGTACAAGGCTCTGACCCATTTGAGACATTATCTCCTTGGGAGGTTCTTCATCCTCAGGACTGATCATCAGACACTGAGATGGATGAGAACTCAGCCGGTACTCTCTGACGCTCTCAAGCGTTGGATTGAAGTCATTGAGCAGTATGACTTCGAGCCCCAGTACATCAAGGGCGAGTACAACAAGGTTGTTGACGCCTTGTCACGTAGACCTGATTTCTCAGGTGCACTGATTACTGAGTTCAATCTTGCGAGCAATATTACTCTGTCTTTGGTGGAAGCCTATCGCGAGGATCTGTTCATGTCTGAGATCATCCGCAGACTCGAGGCGAAGGACAAAGTGACTTCTGCCGAGTTTGAGTTGGTCAACAACTTACTGTTCCTTGAGAAGGTTGGGAATAAATGTTTGTGTGTCCCGAATCACAAGTTTTTGCGTAGTTTGTTTTTAGGCGAGTGCCATGATGCCACAGGCCATTTTGGGTACAAGAAGACTGCAGCCAATCTGCTGCAGCGGTTCTGGTGGCCCACATTTATGAGAGATGCTAAGTTGTACGTGGAGACCTGTCATGTCTGTTAGAGGCACAAGCCACGTACTTAGGCTCCTCTTGGGCCACTGAAGCCCCTTTTGATTCCGAAAAGGCCTGGTGAGAGCCTGTCCATGGACTTCATGGATATGCTGGTCACCAGCAAGAGTGGAATGCGCTACATCTACGTCATTGTGGATAGGTTTAGCAAGTTTGCGAGATTAGTTGCAATGCCGGCAACAGCTAAAACGAAGTATGTGATTAAGATGTTCAAAGAGAATTGGGTTAGAGATTTTGGATTACCCAAGTCCATAGTTAGTGACAGGGATGTCAAATTCACAAGTGAGTTGTGGAAAGCAGCAACTGCAGAGCAAGGTACACAACTGCAGATGACATCAGGCAATCATCGTGAGGCAAACGGGCAGGCTGAACAAATGAACCGCGCTGTACAACACCTGCTAAGGCACTTTATCAAGCCAAATCAAGTAGATTGGGATGAGAAACTTGCTCTCATCGCAAGTTTGTACAATGACATTGTGCACAGCGCAACCTGAGTCATTCCTAACAGCCGACTACTGACCTTCAGACCCTGACTGCCTTTAGACTTCCTACTACCTGACAATCAGCCAACCGCTGATGCAGCAGGTTGTTGAACAGATGCACAAGGCACAGGCGGCGATGATAGAGTCTGAGAACAAACACCGCCGCCCCTCTACGTTTCAGGTAGGAGAGAGAGTTTGGGTCAAGTCCTCAGAACCGGGACAGGAGCACAAGATCTCCCGCAAAGGAGGCGGAGGGGGAGGAGGGGGAGGAGGAGGAGGATGCGTAGGAGGAGCAGGGTGAGGGGGAGCATCGGACACCGGTGCCATCCTGCGAAAGTTGAACGTGGTCTGGCCTCGTATCTGCGCGCCCCCACCCCTCTTCCGCGCTGCTGCTCGCAGAGAGCTGAGCGGGAACCTCGTTGGCTTCTCGGCGATCCGCGTGGGGAGCATAATTCGTGCGAGTAACGCAGGGATCGGATAGTTCCATAAGCGATCTTCCTTCAGCAAGCTCTCCGTGTCGAGTGTCGTATCCCTCTCGAGTTCCCTGACATATCCCATCATCAGATCTCTGAGAAAGTGCAAGCTAATGGCGGCAAGTACCCCGTCCCTCCATGTGGTCCTGAGGTAGCTGATTAACATCGAGGTCCTAATTTTGATCGAGGACATATCTGGAAACAATATATGCGGGTGTGCAAGTAGATACCAAAGGGCATGGTCAAACCACAGTGCGGTGTCTCCGCAATCCTCGTTTCTGTCCTTCTTGCATTTGCACTTGAGATAGGGTCTACCCACACTCCATATCTTCTTTAGGTTCCTAAGGTCTAACCTGTCTTGTTGTCTAATAGCTTTCTGCCACATCCCCGAGCTTGTTTTCCCACATTTATCCGGATCTAATGCGTGCATGGGTGGGAATTTAAGGTCCTGAGGGTCTAGTGGGGGGACTCTCCCGGAGAACTTCAGCTTCCCTTTCAATACTTGTGCCCTACACTCCTTCACTTGTGCATCTGTGACATTCCCCAAGAACTGGAGTGCTCTGATGGAGATCGGTGTGATATGGTTAAAGGTCTCCATCTTCCAAATCGCATGCCGGAAAACCGTGGATATGTGCTCCACCCAATACGTGGATGCTAAGGGAGCGAACGCCGTGTACTGGTCCCGTTCAGAGGCATTAGCACCCGCCCCCCTGGTTGTGAGGGGGGAATCCTTGATAGTGGCCGTAATGGCGGTGATCGCCCGCTCCATCTCCTCCTCCTCCGCCGCCTTGATCGCAAGTTCATCGCATTTCGCTGCTCGGTTGCCTCTTGCGGTAGGCGAACCGCCCATCCGGGTCTTGGGTACCCGCCCTTCCAGGTGCGGGTCATCCACACCCCCGATCCTCAGGAGGATTCCTTCCACCCTGGCAGATCTTCCCCCCAGTTCCCTACATTCCCTAGCATACTCCTGTTTTCTCAACTCAAGTTTCTCGCACAAGACCCTCAGTTCGTCGTCAAACTCATCCCTACTCCGATTCCATGCTCCCGCGAGAACAGCAAGGTCACTAAAACAAAGCATTTCAAAGAAATGGGGGAAGCGCCCAGTATCCCATGTACTTTTTATCGCATCCATGACCCTCGGGTTAAACCACCAGTACCTACCGGTTGTCAAGGCCCGTGGCTCAGGCTACCGGTAGACCGGTCATTGCCGAGCCTCGGACTTTATTGTCGAGCCTTGGGCAACCGGT